TGTGCTCTCTCTCGCTCTCCCTCGCTCTCCCTCTCTCTCGGTCTCTCTCTCTGTCAAATAAATAAATAAAAGCTTTAAAGAAAGAGAAAGGAAAAATGTTTCATTCCAGTTAAAGTGAGGTCAGCCGAGCGGGATACACAGTCTTCACAGAGAGTGCTTGCAGGGAAGGAACATTGGCTGCAGGGTTAACATAAATTACAAATCATTAGACAAAGGACTTTTCAGACAGTTGTAGGCCTTAAGCTTCTAGTATGTGTGAGGCTGCATGGCTTCATCTCATGAGCACTTGGATAGGTCTTACTCTTTATGTTTGGAATATTCCTTTTTAGTTAATTTTAAGTGAATCAGATTTAAGTCCACAGTTTTTCTCCCCACAGAGGAGTACACAGAAAACAAAAGTAAAGAGGTTTTAAAACAAGGTTACGGAACAGGAACTTTGGGCGGGAGTGGGGGAAAAAAGGTGATAAGAGAGAGAACAAAGAAAAAGAAGCCCAAACAGGGACTGTTTCCCCTCACCAGGGCGATTAGTCCTGGCCAGAATCTCCCAAAGTCATGACCATAAGGGACCTAAGTACGAGTCCGTTTTTCCAAAAGTGCCCGTAGCAAAAAAAAAAAAAAGAACCAGTGCCCGCTCTGGTGGGAGACTCAAACTCCGCCCAATCCCACGGTGGCTTCAGCCCCCGCCCCCGACAAGGAGCCGCACAGCCCCGGCCCCCTCCGAGGGGAGGAGCTCTGGCGCAGTCAGCACACTGAGGTGATGCGCTTTGGTTCAAGGAAGAAAAGAGGAGCAAACAAAGAGTCTACCCAGTCATGGATAGAGGTCTGAGTCTGGCAGCCCCGGTTTCACTGAGCCCTGTCTCATCTTAGAGTCCCCTCGTGGTCGCAAAATGTTACCAGACTCAGGTCCTTGGACCCAGCAATGGTAGAGACAAGACTGGACCCCAAATGTAAAAGCACAGGCAAGCTTTCTCGGGGCTTATGCCCCAGCCCCAGGGGGCAGCACAAAGGAAAGAATCCCCAGGCTGACTCTCCAAGGAGAGGTCAGATGGGATACTTTAAAGGAACTTAGGTGGAAAAAGGGTGACAGGTAAGCAGGTAGAGGTGGGGATTTATTAGCACCTGTGCACTTAATGGTCCTGCTTCTTCATGCGCGGCGTGTCTAATGAACATGGTAGCTCTCCACCCCTGGGCATGATTTTCAGTATTATAATGAGGGCAAAAGTCTGTGAAAGTGCCATACTGAAGTCCGTCTTGGTGCAGACTGGTTTGCCCTGGACTGGGCTTGCTCCTTAGCTGGTGCTTTGCTCTGCAAGAAAAGCGATGATGGCCAGCAGGCAGGGAATTTTCCAAGTATACAGGGGCTTGTTCCCAAGGTCCCTGAATGTCTCACGTCTATGCTGCAGAAACCTGGCAAAGCCATGCTGGAAAGAATCAATATACAACACCTCTTTTTACCTCATGATTTATTTTTCTATCTCAAGAAAACATCTTTTTCTTTTTAAAGGCCCCATTCGTTTAAATGTTACTTATTAATAAAATATACTTCCCTTATATGGCTGAGTGTTTGGTAAGGATCTTGGAAGCTTATGGAATTAAGTACTGTCCTATAGCTATGTGTTGTCGAGAGTAGCCCCAGAGTGGAAAGCAGAGCTGGAGGGTGATGCTGGGGCCCCACAACTGCTTCAAATAAGGCCCAAGTCCTTCAAGGATAATTCCGTTGATGAGGCTCCCACAGCTGTGCTTGCTTTACACAGGAGCCACCTGCTCGTCTTGCCTGTACAAAGACTGCCCCTCTCGTCAGCTCTTCATGAGAGCTACCCGCATGCAGAGAGGACCAGTTGCGTAACTATAAAAGCCGGCGGGGTGGCATTATGTCAGCAAGCCACTCCAAAGCCCCTGGGCTAACCAGTACCAGTCATTGCTGTGCTACCTAGATAAGTGAACCGTTCCCAGTAGCCTACATTCATTTGATTCATCCCACGTGAGCGTCCTCGCCACTTTCCATTTGCACGCTTTGTCGTCTATGTCTCAAGGTTTCTTGGACAAAACACCAGCTCCTGATATTTCCTCAGCATGAACACATCTCCAAACATGCAGACCTAAAGCCCGCTGTCCCAGAGCTTGCCCCATAATATTTTTGGCATTTATGAAGTCTGGGATTTCTGCTCTCTGCAAACATGCTAGCTCCTAAAAAGAAGTGAGGGGGGCGCCTGGGTGGCTCAGTTAAGCGTCTGACTTTGGCTCAGGTCATGATCTCAGGGACCTGGGATAGAGCCCTGCTGAGAGTCTCCTTGCTTAGTGGGGAATCTGCTTGTCCATCTGCTTCTGCCCCTCCACCCTGCTCCTCCTCTCTCTGTCTCTCTCTCAAATAAATAAAATCTATAAAAACAAAAAAGAAGTGAGGGACAGTGGGTGAGCTGTGAGAGAGTCCCTCTCTCTCTCTCTTGCTCTCTCTCTTTTTTTTTTTTTTTTTTTTTAATTTATCCATTCATGAGAGATAGAGCATGAACAGGGGCAGGGGAGAGAGAGAAGCAGACTTCCCGCTGAGCAGGGAGCCCGATGCAGAGCTCTCCATCCCAGGACCCTGGGATCCTGACCTGAGCCAAAGGCAGACGCTTACTGACTGAGCCACCCAGGTGCCCCGAGAGTTCTTCTCTTAAACTCAACCAGTAGAGAAGTTATTCATCCCTCTTTTCCTATGGAGAAGTGTAAGAGCCCAGAGTGTGTAACGGTTGGTGTTACTCTCACTGACGTCCCTCAACAAGGAGACTCAGAGCCAAGAGAAATGACACGCAGCCTCTATACCCCAAAATATGTTGTCATTTCCTTTTGCTTACTTTTGTGTGCTTTCAACTTTTCCTATCAGGAAAAAATAAGTCTCCTTAAAAAATAAGAACAGAAGCACTTTCTTTCCCTTTGCTTTCCTGTCACTCAACCCAGAAGTAATTATGGAGTGATAAATTTTAACATTTGACACCTACAAACAAAATTTTAATCACACTTCTGTAACTTTGAATATTGTTAAAAAATTCAATCATCCATTTACTTTATAATCTTCATGTATTCAACGACCATTTGCATTATGAGGAAGCTGTATTTGCAGGGTTAAACACTGAAGTTATAAAAAATATTTCAGTATGATTCCACCTTCGAGGAAGATGTAATTTACTTGAGAAAGGAAGATATAAATAGGATTGTAAAATATCATCAAATGATGAGCAAGATAAGATATTAATAAGGTTCTGTGGGAGAACCAATAAGAAGAGTCTTTCCATCTTGGAACATTAGGGAAAACTCCTGGAGGGTGAAGTGGATGAACTGGGCTCTGCTGGAGGGGGACATTTGTGCCCTAGAGGGGAGAGACATGTCCGTGGTGAAGGAAGAACATCGTTTCACACAACATGCACTTGTATAATTTTATGCACTGTTCTGTGACCCAAAGATAGCTGTAGATCTTACTTGCAAGTGAGAGAAACAAACAATAAATGAAGGAATACGTACTCAATACAATGTTAGGAAAGGATTGGTACTATAGAGAAAAATAAAGCCATCAAAGAGAGACTAATGGATTAGTGTTATTTTCATAGAGTGGTTAAGAAAGCCCTTTTTTAGAGGGTGACCTTTTCACAGGGATCTGAAATATCTAAATCTAAAACATACATGTCTATGGCACGTGCATTATTTTTCTCTTATCTGCAGCATTCAATAGATTCCTGTGTTTCAAAATTTAAAAAAAATAAAGGAGTTTACTATTAAAAATAACAAATATAGAAAAGGCAAAAAAAAATCTCCCTCCCACCCTTGTTTTCTAGCCACCCAGTTGTAAATGGAGAAAAAAAAAAGGTATTTCAGGCTAAAGAAATAGGAAGTGAAAAAACCCAGAGGTCAGAGTTCTTTAGATATCTTTGAGAAAATGCTGGAGCAAGGAGAATGCTAGGAAATGATGTTAGAGAGATCATGGAGGGCTTGTGGGCCATGGGAAGGAATCCAGATTCCTGCTAAGTGTGGTGGGAGGCTGGCTGTCAGGGAATTTTGAGCACTGGGGTGATCTGATCTGATCTGTGTTTCTTAGAAGTTCACTAAGCAGTATATAAAACAGGCTATAAGAGGACAAGAAAGGCAGCTGGCGGGCTAGTCCGGGAGCTAAGGTAGGAGTCCCAGTGAGAAACAAATAGGACTTGGATGAGGGCAAATATATAGAAAAAAAATGGAGTAATCTCGGATTCTCCTGTCAAGTTAGGCAGTAATTAGCTAGATAACAATAGAATGAAGAAATAGCTAGAGAAAGTTTTCTTTGTTCATTCAGATTCATGATTCAGTTTTTCTTTCTTTGAAACTTTTCTCTTGCATGTCAGAACCATATGATCACTGTCCCTGAAAGTGTTAAGTCCATGTTTGGAATAAGTGAAGTAATTTTGTAAATTAGAAAATCTAGCAAAGTCAGTGTAGCGTACAGGTAATACGTTTCACGGAGACTTCAAACCTGATTATAGCTAATAATTGTTAATGGTGCAAATTATCTACGTGCTGTCTGTATCCTTTAGACTGTGAACATGATTTTATGACTGTTTTTAAAAATTAGGTCTTGAGTAACTTTCTTTTTATAAGTTGTCCATCCCTTCAGTAATGTCCTCTCCATGAGCCTCCCGATTTCTTTGTATACTCTTTAGACGAGGCATGATTAAGAAGTTAAATGGAGAGACTCTGTCAAACTCATTAATTTTCTGTGGTGTTTGAATAAGTGGGTTGGCCCCTTAAGCAGATTGTGCAATATTGCTTTTCAGATCGAGGGCTTTCTGTCGGAACGTACCATGTCTCGAAAGAGAAGATAGCTGCCAGGCTTCTGGGCTGTAGCTAGGAATGTAATTTGTTCAACAAAGCATGGCAGCTAAACCAATAGAATTGTTTGTTGTTTGGTCTTTCTTATTAGACCATGTTGTAAAGCTCGGAGGAAGGTCGAATGCTAAAATGCATTAAAATGCACTTTCTTTTCCCCCTAGATATTTTTGAATGCAGATAAAATCCGGCTGGGGAATCTACCGACTGGCTCTTTCTCATCGTCTTCACCCAGCTCCTCAAGTTCCCGGCAGACCGTGTACGAACTGTGTGTCTGCCCCAATGGCAAACTGTACCTTTCTCCAGCGGGAGTAGGTTCCACTTGTCAGTCCAGTAGCAACATCTGCTTGTGGAGCTGAAGTGACTGATTTCTCCTCACACCAGAATAGCCTTTTGTTCCTGTCCGTCTGCTTCACAGTTCCGCTCGGTTTCCCTTGTGATCAGTCCAGAGCTTCTTCAAATGGTCCACAGAGCAACTTCTTCCGATTGCAAGCAGGGGTTCGCTGCCACCTTCTCTCGTGATTTACTGTACTGCTCAACGCAGAGAGCGTGGGTGACGGGACAGTGGAAAAATCACCTTCAGCGGGAAAACTGGATCATAACTTCTGCTCAAAAGGGAGAAAAACATAGGTGCCTTTGCTACATAAAGTGAAGCACACAGTTTTAGATTTTTGCAGGACCTGGATATGAACTGCACATACATACATTAATCACATAGATGAAATTCCCAGTATCCAATGGCAAGATGAGATGGTTAACCCTGTCAGAAAACTAATTCTACAGTCTGAAAGCACAATTTTCCAATCATCTTTTTGGATGTAAACTTTTATCCCTGAATTTTAAAATTTTCAAGCATTAGATAATGCTTGCTTTACTAAAAATTAAATTCAATACATGATTTTTAACAAAACGAAACAAAACAAGACAGAATCCCACCCTGAGTTTTATTTGTTTCTTTGAATTCAATGTGTTGTTACTCTTTGTCTACTAAGTCTAGACTTTTGTACGTTAGGTAATTTTGAAAGCACTCAGCAATATAATCTTTACAGAATTAACAAAATGCCATTATCCTGTCATTTGTCAGATCTGAATGGCCTTATATAGTATTTACTTGGCTTTTGCATGTGACGTATTTGCTTTTAACGAAACATCTAATTTATTGCAATATAAGATAGGATTAAGAGGGGCATTCTGATGGTGTAGAATCCATAGATTTTTTTTTTAATTCACATGCTATCGTTTCCATGAGGTTCTCATAGCACAACTTTTTGTTTGCTCCATTCACTTTATATTTGACTGACTGCTAAAATTCAAACATCCACTAAATAAATAAATTACTAATGTGATGCATTATGCCGAGAATGGATTCACTTTCCATTGGAATATACTCTTCAGAATTATATCTACTTATTTTTTTTTTACTGGAGGTTAAGATTTAAGGACGGTAGAAAGTAAATTACAAATCCCTGCTTACAGAGTAAAGAACATAAATGTTAACGAACATGTTGAAAATGTGTTTGCTCCATTAAATTCCTATTTTCAGGAATTTGGTCACATTTCCTTTCAGTTCTTAATACTTAGTTACCTTGATTAGACTGTTAAGCTACCCAGCCCCTGGCATCAGAAATCATAGCTCCTTCCATTCTCCACTGCTTATTTTTGTAAATTAGCACTAATAAATAACTCCAGAATAATGTAGCTTCGTTTATCACAACACTCCTTAACTTGAATTCTTAAAACTTACAGAATCCAAGAATGTAAAATTGTATTAAATATTTCCTATTATGGGAAGATGACTTGATTACTCTAAGGTAAGTCCTTAATTTTCACATGGCAGTCAAGCTTACTTTCCCCCATGCACACTGTTGCAGGTGTATGGAAGCTTCGTCTTGGGGGCCCATGAGCATAGAACCTTTGAAATTCAGGCCTCTACAGCATAGAGCAGAGTGGGAGATGGGAATTGTTGGAGTAATTTGTTGAAAGTAGGAAAATTAGATAATGCAAGGAACAAAGTGAACCATGGCCAGAATTATCTTGTTTGGATAACCTAACATATTGAATGCTTGAAAAAGCTCTGTTTTACTAAAACGCATTCTGTACTCACCAAAAAGTCAGAAAGCTAGTGCAGTTTTATCACTTTTAAAATAGAACTTGACTTGTGTTTGGGGTTATTATTAGAAAACTTAAATCACTATTGGAGTAAGAATTGAGATATGCAACTGCTTAAAACATCATAGCACAACATAAGTGTTCAATTTATTTAAGTTGGAACATTAGAATTGAATATGAGAAATTCTCACATTGGTTTAAGCAAAGGACACAAAGTATAACAAGAAATTTTGAGAAATTATGGGTGCTAATCACTGTGTTATGGGCCTTTTAGGAAAACACTGTGTATTAATTTGAGACATTCAAGTTCTAAACATCCCTAAATTAAAACAATTAGAAAGTTTTTTTTTTTTTTAGTCAAACAGGAACAATTCTTTTGATTAGTAATTAGCACCGTTTCTAATCTCAGCTCTGTCTTCTAATCAGCAAGCTGATTTAGGCGGTCTGGGAATATCTCCAGACTCCAGACTCAACTATACAACAGAAGTATCAAGTCAACTGGTCTCTTGAGAATCCTTCCAGCTCTAACTTGTTCTAATTCCAAGAGCAAATATTATAGGCGGTAGAAGGGTCCACTAAATTTTAAATTATACATCGTAAGAGGAGAAAAGTGGAGAGTGAGGAGACAAACAGTATAAAATCCAATTCTGGTGAGGGGCTGTCAATTTTTATTTCAAATATGTTCTGAAATATTACAGACACAATTTGAAAGACATATGTTAAGAGATTTAGACTATGGCTACATGATGTAAAAATATCTTTGATTTCGTAGAAAAAAATAGTGATACAAGAGGCTTTGCTATCCAACACTGGGCAGTTGGTTTAAATTACTTGGCTGGCTATTTTAGATTCCTTAGAATCTAAGTATAGATTCAGCCTCAGAGTTGGAGCCTCTATTGAAGGCATAGAAGATTGCTCCTAAAGGTCCTTCATTTCTTCATAAATGAAGGCTCGGTTCTCTCCTAATACAGAGTTCCCTTAATTGTAGACTACAAAACAGATTCATCATCTGTTTCTCCAGTAGTATTTTTCTGTTACAACCTATATAAATACCGTGCAGTTTACTCAGATGCAAATTTCATCTTTCCTAATTTAACTCAGAAAAAAAATAATTCCTTTCAGGTGTAATACATGTACCTTAAACTTTGTATTCAGTTCAGCTGGAGAAGGCAGGAGGCCGGGGGTGGGGGGGGGGGGGGGGAAGGAGAAAGTCAGGCAAACCCGCATGCAGGGAAGACAAAAGGAAGGGATTCACCATATTCCTAGCATTTACATTTTTAGCTAGGAATGAATAAACTGAAAGTATGTGAGTTCTGTTTCTGGGAGTCAAAGGAGAGAAGCAATTATCCCTTATTCTTTCAGAATACTTAAGTGAGACACTCTCAAAAAAATATACTTCAAAATTACCTGTTTCTTTCGTTCCACATCTCCAAAATTTCTACCCTGTATTTCTTGGTCCTATTTTGTTTTCCTTATTTTATTAGGAACCACAAGATCTCTAGTTTAGTACATAATTATTTCTTGAAGGGTTCAAGATAACTTTATACTTCAAATTTGATATTAATCAAGTAATCTTAGATTTCAGGATCCCAAATCTCTGAAAATGGATCCTGGGGTTTCATTTCTAGTTCTGCGCCTACCTACTTGACTTTAGGAAATGTACTTCTTTATCTTGACCACAGTTCACTTACCTGTGAGAGGGGTACAGCAAACTAGGAGTTTCCTTTGGTTACTTTCATCTCTAAAATTTCACTGATTCACTTAAGAGACTCAGCTATCTTGAGTTCAGTAACTTAGTCTGGACTAGCATTACTGATCTCCTTCTATACCTTAACGTGTTTCTTGCTTAAACGTTGAAATGCAAATCTTTCCAGCATCCCGCTCCTTACTCCTTTTTTTATATTCTTTCTTGTTCTTACCATGTGAACATTAATGTCCCTTTCATAAATAATGTCACTGACAGGCTTCAGGAATATGGTTGACATTTAAAAAAGAAAAGGATATATTTGGTCTTATTAAAAAGAACTATTTTGGAAATTAATAGAAAAATTTACCAAATATTAATACTCCGTTGATCATTCTGTTACTATTTATCGCCATCAAACTAAAAAGCTCTGGTCTTCTGAAGGAAAGGTAATTTGATCACAAAGGTCAGTTGCTGACTTTTTATAAGATGCTATACCATTCAAACTTCCTGCATATTCTACCATCTGAATTTCTCAGTTGGACAGTGCCTCATTTTATAAAACTGGCATTTGATACAATAAAACTCCTAATGAATTGTGTCATTGCAAACATGGTATCTCCATATGAGGCAGCAATTGATAGAAGGCCGGAGAGTGTTTAACACATTTAAGTGCTATATTTTATAACAGATAGTATCAGTATCATAATATTAAATTATTAAAATAGTTGAAGATATTTAATGGCCAAATTTTCTATACCACCATCAAAGCCAAATTCACGTTTGAGTTTCATATGAGTAAAGTCTTATAACCTTATTCTTCCAGTAGCTTTGGTCTAATTATCATTGCTCATGTGGCCATATTTAAAGATACTTGGAGAAATTATTTTCTCTATGTAGTAGTGTATATTAGAGCAACGAATATTATAAAATATCATTATCACAAAGTAAAATATTATATTTTATTCCTTTAAAACAATCATAAACTAACGAATGACCTCATTGAATGCTGTTATTCATATTGTTTTATACTGCAGTTCATTAGTTATTTAAATGTCAAAGACCAAAGACTGGGATTTCTATTGTATTTAACTCTACAACACTGCTGCTTCTACTAATTAATTCAAATGAATAGGAGGGCTTATAATTATAACATGAGGTAGTAAACATCCTCCTTGCAGGACTCTGAGCTATAGGTCATTACTTTGTTTTTGATTTTTAGAAGGAAAATTTTGTTAGTGTTGTCCACTTACCTTTTATACATGCATAATAAACTCCTTGATATTCATAAGACCAGTATATAAAGACTATACCCTAAAATGGGGGTCCAGGCTGGATTGATTCAACTGAGTTTAAACTTTCATTGCTTGGTAAAAATTCTTTGGAGAATATAATTAATTTGAAATACTTTTAGAACCAGAGGGCTATTTTTTAAGTGTTGATTGAAGCGGTTCCATTCTTTGAGAAAGTCAATGAAAAACATGAAAGGAAATGAGGTATAATGAACTGTGATCCTTTATGTTTTTGCAGTCTTAATACCTCATTTGTCTGAATGTTTATAAATAA